GGTTCAGTAGTAGCTCAGACTAACCTATCTTCCAAACTTCCACTAACCACATATTCCCAGAAAAAATAATAATAAAGCACATTCATTGTTGCATCACAATGTACACTCCCACCTCACATTCTTCCCCATGTGCATTGTTTGAGTCAAGCAGCCTGAAAAATCTTAAAACTGCAATGTCCATTGATAAATTCGTGCCTTTCCTAATGGAGGAAAGTGAGACTGGGAAAATACTAAATGCATTCATCCCACCTCTCCATTTCCCCCTTGGACTGCCAGTTCAGGTTGTGTTCATCAGAGGCCCCTGCCATGTCCTAACTCCCAAGACCCTTTTTCCTCCACGCCTCAACATACCCTTCTCAGAGCTGTTGCTCTAGAACCCAGCTCTAGGCTGGTCCAGTCCTTGTCATTACAGGCTGCACAGTGCACCTGTCCCTAGAAGGGGCTAAGTCAGCAGCAAGTTAACTCCCAACCTCACCTCTGGTTTCTTCCTCCCAGGTTGCCTACCCTGTAGCACCACAGCGAATGGCTTTCTGCTCCAGAACAGCCTTCCTGCATCTATTCATTCAGTGTAGGTTTAACTTAGCCTACAGTGTATCAGGCACCGAGAAGTGATATTCAAGCGAATATCTGAAAAATTAAATTAGGCAAAGGCAGCTGGAGGGTGGGGTGGCAGTCACAAAAGAACACTCCACACTGAGGAAGCTGCCTGGCCCGGGCTTGAGAGTAAGTAGGAGCCACTCAAGACTCAGCAGTGGGGCTGGGTGGGAGAGGCTGACCCTCCCAGGAGCTGGGAATGGTACAGGGACAAGACCTTGAGAGGTTGTAGCGTCTGTGTTAAGGATTTAAGTTCTGATCCTAAGAGAAACTGGAAAGCATGAAGAGGTTTGGGGAAACTGGCCATGGGAGCACACATTGCAACCACATTTTGAAACAATCATTCCAGCTGCTATAAGGAGAAGGGTCTAAAGAGCCAGGGGAAGACACGGGGGTCCACTGAGGAGGGAGCTGCATCCGTTCCCGGGGAAGAGGTGCAAATGCAAATTTGACCTGAGAGCTGGGAATAGAGAGTGAGCCAAGAAAATTAATTTACCAAACTAGAGTTTACCAAGCCAGATGAATAGGCTGTACCATCTGGAAAGATGGAGCATCATTAGATAGTCATATTTACTTGCAAAGATCCTGATATCAGTTTGGGACAGGATGTGTTTAGAAGCTTTCAAGGCTTCGAGGTTGGTGGGTTGGTCTGAGATAGTGACATTCTTTCAGCAGCTGCACATGGATCTCAGCAGACACCTGGGCAGGATTACTCCACATCACCAGTTGCAGCCGCCTTTCTCTCTCCAATCATTCCATCTGTGCCTGCCTCTGATAGGGAGAGCAGATGTCTGAGGCCTCGTAGTGACCCCACAGCTCTCTCTGGACCTGCTCTTGCTCCGCTAATGCTTCTTAGAGTCATTATGGCCACTGTCTTCCCTACTGATGACCCTGCCACCTTGAGTCAGAGACATATGGCGTTCCTCCTGATGCCCTCAGCACACAGACTACAACCATGCCTTTGAACAAGGTCCGGGCCTATTTTTCTGATCTGCCACAAATCCCAGTGTTCTGAGCCTCTAGAAATAGGTAAGAAGACAAACCCATATTCTACAGCCCTCACCCAAAATCCAGCCTCAGTCTGAGAGGGATTCACAGGTTTAGTACTTAGAACTCCTCCCACCTAAGGAGCCTAGATATCGACCAAAGACTTTAAAAAAGAAATGAATTGATGTTTTCTCACTGTTTACAGTTATGTGAAAAATCAAAGATCAACAGAAGATGTAGTTCTCTGTTGTTAAAGACCTCCTAGGTACGGAGGCCTGACAAGGGAAGAGTAATTACCCTCAGAGCGTCTATTGCAATCTTCGCTGATTTATAATAGCTGTGCTTTATTTTGTGTGAACTGTCTACCAATATATCAAAGCCTAAATCCACAAGATTCTAACAATTTCCAGAAAGCACAGGACAAGAATAGATGACAAAATCTAATTGTATCAATGCATACAGAGCCACCCCTACCCTCTCCCACTGTTTGTTTGTGATTAGGGAAAGGTACTTTCCTCCATGCAGATAGCCCCTCCACAGAACATATGACTTGGCTAGATTTAAAATCCTGTCTCCCTTCTCTGGCAGTGTCCTTGTGCAGTGTTCAACCGGCATATTGCATACGTGACACTATTAACTGGTGACATTCACAGGGAAGTATCAGTACAGCTAACTGATGCAAGGAATAGATAGAATTGGTTGGGTAAGAAAAGACCAAGAACAAACAGCCACAAGGAAGGCCAGAGGCACAGGAAATGGTCAGGCTTGAAGGAGGCAACAATGATGGAGTGAGGAACTGAATGCTTGGCTGAAGAACAATCAGGGAAGACCCCAAACGCCTGGAAATTCACACTTGGCCTGGCAGAATTTGAGCACTCCCTAGGAGCATTACATTCTTTTCCATGGTGAGCTAGTTGCCAGTATTAGGTCTCACCAAAGAAGCAGGTGCCTCTCATACTCAGAATATCCACAAAGGGTGCCATAAAACAAGAAAGAAAGAAAGAAAAAAAAAACTGAACGTCATTCTGCTACCATGGAACTTCAATTAATAAGGTCTAATTCTTTGTATCTGTAGCCTGCCTACTATATATAATTCAGACATTTTTCCTCGTTATGCTTGTGTTTGCCGTTATAACAGTCTCCTTCCATGAATAAGATGAGGAAGCACAGCAGTTAAGAGCTTTACTGAGGGCTAAAGAAAGTCCACAGAGGCAAAGCTGTGACTTGAACCCAGATCTCTCACACAGACTCCAGGGCTCAAGGGCACCCAGGCCGCTTGTTTCACAGAGTCCCTCTGTCACCAGCCACCACACTGACTACTTCTGTCTGCCAGCTCTGGGTCCTTTCCAAGAAAAGACAAAGCTCCCAAACAAGCAGTAATGACATTGATTATTCCAAGCCAGAGGCAGGGGATTTGGGATCATTTCCTTAAAACACTTGCTCAGCAGCACTGAAATCCTCACCCCTACCACCCTTAGTCCCAAGAAACAAATGTACAGTACTTCATTAACATGAAGGGGAGCAAATTCCCCATGGAGCTCTGCAATCTCACTTCCCGGAGCTTGTCAAATGCTAGCAGCAGGCCAGGCCGGCTGCACTGTTTGCTTGGTTGTATCTTATTTTTGTAGTGTTTTGCAGATTGCAGAAGCCTCTCCCCACCCTCCCAGAACTGGGCAAAAACATATCACCTTGAGCCTCCTAAGGCAGCACTCAAAAGATTTCCCTGATGTCCTTGGGCTTCATCTAATATTGCCGTTGGATGTGATATCTTGTGGTATTCTGCTATCAGCCATATTTTGTTTTTTTTGTTTTTTTTTTTTTCAGGGAAGAACATAAAATTTATTTTTAACATCCCTACGAGATATGTGACCAAAATGTAATTTAAAAAAAAAAACAAACAAATGAAAGACTTTCCAATATGTTATGCAAAGCATAAAAAGCATTGTGTTCAAAAGCTAATTTTCAGTTTTCATATTTATATCCCTTTCTATTTCACCCTTTTGTTACTAAGAAGGTTGAAATGAAAGGGAATTTGTCTCTTTTCTCAAAAATCTATCTCTCAAGGCTGAGTTTCTGCATACCTGAATTCGCACATCTCCCACATCATGATAATTACCTCCATGGTAACCACTCATGACATCACAAACACGATGCACCAGCAGAAGCAAGAGCGCTCCTGAGACATGGCTTGAAGTAAACCCTCTCTATGACCTAAGAACGCCAAAACAGAAGCAAAATGATTTTGTGTTGGGATTTTAGCAGAAAAGTAACTCTTGAAAGAAACTATTCTTGGATTTTGATATTTATTACATTTCAAAGTATCTTGTTGCCTCAGATCTGAAACTATGATCTGAGGTCCACAAATGGAATGAGACCAACAGATTCAGATCTTCAGCAATCCTTAACCACAGATCTCACAGGTATTTCAAACAAGGGGCTTTTAAAAATACTTCCATGGATGTACAGAACACAATGTGTTCCTGGAACCTCTTTCTCCTGCCTTTCTTACCCATAATAAATGAATTGCCCAAAGCCTCAAGCCAAGATTAACAGCTATAAATAAACTTGTGGACAGCAGCCAAAAGAAGAGTGGACGCACCACATTCATGTGGTGTGTTCACCGCACAAGCTTCACCTAAAAGAAAGGGAACATTTTATTGTAAGACAAAGGGCTGAGGTGTGAGAGGAGAATCAACAGCCACTTTGCAAGGGCACATTCTCTGCAAATGGCCTCAGCTTTGAGGCTTAAATATTAGTTCTGAATACTAGTTAGACCCATCAGGCCTCTTAAATTTGGATTTCAAGTCGCAGACATCAAAGAGCATGTAGCGCCCCGCCTTTCACAAGATGCTATTGTCAAAACAGGCTGCCTTAATCTCCTTCCTTGGAGGAGGAAAAGAAACAAAAAACAGAAAAGAGAGCAATTGGAAGAGAACCTGAACTCACAATCTGGGAGCCAGAAAGTAAACATTGCACATTAAGTCCCTTACTTTAATTGCTAGCCTGAAAATTCCAATTTGCATGTGTTTTAATTAGCCATGGAAGGGCTCACCTATTATTCTCTGAATACAAAAATTCAAAAGCAAACAGAAATGGGGGCAGAAAGGCCCTCAAGGATTAATCCTTGCATTCTTCTCATTTTTCCCCCAAATTTGGGGCTAACATTTGTGGTGGAGAATTTGAGCTTAGGCAAAGAAACACTGGGTTTGCCTGGTAAACAGACCTCTGTGGTACTCTGACCAACAGTTTTAGTTAACAATTTAATAGGCCAAGGGCCCCAGCAAGAGGGCTACAGAAATTTTTTATTTCAACAAAACAACACAACTAGGTTCGCTCCTCAAATGCAGGAGATCAAGCCAGAGTTCTGTTTGCTGATCGGGTGGAGTGTGTAATTGAGAACCCAGCAAGCAGTTACTCACCCCTGTTTCTTTGGGTCCTTCTAGTTTATCGCATTCTAATCATTTTTTGCTTGTCCATCTAGGATCATCAGTTTCTGCCAACAGAAAAAGGTAAGCAACATTAATTTTAATTGACTTTCCTTTCAAAAAATGTGTCCCACAGATTTCTAAAACAAGTTTTCAAAACAAGACAATGCCCAAGCATCAAGGAGCCTTGGAAAGGTCTCAAGCAGAGAAAGGTGTTAGCAGAGGACTCACAATGGCTCCTGAGGATGAAGCACTCTGGGGATAAGGAAACATCAGTTTTGTGGAAACGTGAGTTCCTTACTCCATGCGCACCAGCCAGCCAACAGCTGCTGAATTGAGTCTAACTGAGCTTCTGCGATGGAAGGGACTCTGCTAACGGCTTTGGTGGGTAAGATGTGCAAGAACACAATCTCAAGGAACTCGTTAAGAGATGAGGCCACAACGATGCATCAACTCTCAGCTACAGATGGTCTGGGCTTTGAAAGTTCTAAGGAACTGGAGATTACTAATGAGTAGGAGCACCATTGTGGGCTTAGCAGAACGCCCTCACCTGTGAAGACTGGGCAGGAATTGATGGACAGGTACTGTGTTGGCCTTTTCAACAATGCCTCAATGATCTGAGCAAACACCTTAAAGGAAGAAAGACTCATTTGTGCTCATAGTTTCCAAGGGTTTCAGTTCTGGTCCACTGGCTTGGTTGCTGTGGGCCTAAGGCAAGGCAAAGTGTCATGGCAGGAAGTGTGAGGTATAGCACACTTGTAGCATGACATGAAGCAGAGAATGCTTATATTTGAGGACTTCATCCTCTGCTTTTGCTCCATCTATGCCCCCAGCCTATTGAATGGTGCTACCCATGTTCACCACCCACCTCCCCACCACACACATTTTAACTAACTCTGGAAATACCATTATAGACACATTCAGGAGTGTGCTTTATTAATCTCCTAGGTGTTTCTCAGTCTATTCACACTGACAACACTGACCATCACAGGCATGATATATGTAATGATCTAGACCGTCTTGGATGTATTTGAATGCTAAACAACAAAAGATTGGTTTTGTTAAGAGTTTGCTATGACCGGGTGCAGAAGAGGTGTCTTACCAGTCAAAGCAAAACCCAAGAGTGGATAATAGGTCTATCTATGGTTCTAGGATCTGGCTGAGAATCTGAGCAGTGAAGAAAAGGGATGCAAAGGGTCTGTAATGACAGCTCAAAGGGAAACCTCCAAAGCTGAAGATAGTAGTGCATACCTTCAGTCCCAACAATCTGTAGTCAGAGGCAGGAAGATCACCACCACAAATGTGAACCAGCCTGGTCCACACAGTGAGTTCCAGGCAAGCCAGAGTGATAAGGTAAGACTCAGTCTCAAGATCAGTAACTGTGGAGTGCTCAGCCCTAAATGGGATATCTATATTACATCCTCTCCTTGTGTAGCTCAGAGAACATTGCAGAAGAGGGGAAAGAAAGTTCTAAGATCCAGAGCTTGGAGTGGACTGCCGTGGAACAGTGTCTTTGGGACACAACAAAGGCTTTGCACTTTGAGTCCAAAGCAGCTATGGTGGCCTGCACTGATCAAGCCAGTCAACATCCCAGCACAGATGCAGAAGGGACACATGAAGCTTCACCCTTAGCTGAGGCGCTTTAGCGGTTAGAGAACTACTGGAGCACAGAGTCAGTTTTCATTCAGAATGTCGTCCCTGGATAGCTGAACATGCTCAGCTTAGATGGCCCCACACTCAAGCACAGACAGACTACACTGACTGGGCCCAGTGGGTTATGAAGAGGACATCAATTTGGAAGGGAAACATGGCTAAAAGAGCGTCGGAGAGGAGCTGGGGTGGGTAGGACAGAGAGAGAACAACCTATATGGCACTAACATCGTTCTAAACTCCCTTGCAGGAGCCAAGAAAAGAAGAGGCAAAGCAATCTATTGTCAGGATTTAAGAACCTGCCCAGCTTTTCCTGGCTATCCACTGATGTGGTGACTTACAGTAAGCATGTTTTCTTTATTCTTTACTTTTTTTCTTTTTTAGTGCTGGGGTTAGAATCCAGGGCCTCACACATGCGAAACACATGCTGTACCACCGAGTTGTACCTCCAGCCCATTATGTAGTAGCGTTTTAAATGCACCGCTATGCTTCTGATACTTATACCATCTGTGAATGTTGGACTCTACTGGCTGCTGCTTCCGCATGGCCACAATCCTAAGGGAGCATGGCAGGGAACCATTCTCTTCTTGGTCTTAGAGTCTTCAAGTCTTGAGCAAAGCTAAGAATTCTTGGCAAGGGTTTTTGTCTCCAAAGTAATGATGGGAAGCTCTGGGCTAGAAGTCAACAGAGTGGTGCTGGCTCATCCTGGCTAGACACTGGTGCCCCCGGGACTTCAGAGGAGGCTCTTCTGCACTCAGACCCTAATTTCATTTGTAGAGTGAGGGTATTGGGTCAGATGCTTGCTTCTGTGTCTTGTGGTTTATGATTTTGGATCAAGTGACTATTCCAAGTCTGTGCAGCCATTTGAGACTCTGGAACCGATGCTGTGTCTCCTGACCTATCAAGTTAATGTCTCCATGGTGTTGGTCTCCATGACCAGGAGATATTAACAACACCAGGCAGCAGCATTCAGTAAGTGGTTACTAAGTGCCAAGTAGTGTCTAGTTAGTCCTCATGCAAATGAGATAAAATTCGAATTTTATAGAGAGTAAGCAAACGTAAGATTTAGTCATTTACCCATAATCAGACATTGAGCATATACAGAGCCAGGGTTTGAAGTCAGACATTCCCCTTCCAGCACCCATTATCTTCATCTGTACATGCCACACTACACAGTAGCATAAGGAGTTGCTTGGTGACACTGAACCTTAAAATAGAAAACATGGCAGTCTTCCAGTGGTGAGTTCACATTGGAAGTATGCAAGCTTTCTGAAGAACTACTCTGGTCAGTGCTGCTTGCCTGTACACCTCTCCATTTCCCTCCCCACAGATAACCACATGAACAGTCCCTGGGGCACCATTTGAAAACCAGTGGTCTTTAGTGTGGTCTGAATGGAATATGGATAATGACCACATGGAAAAGCAGGAGACAATGGCGTCCTGCCTTACTCCCCCAGCTTGTGAGACAGGGAAAACCAAAACCACCACAGATTATTTTTATCACCAAATAAAACCCAAGAGGAGTTATCCTCTAAGTCTCCAGGGAGCCACACTGACATCACCTCCAGGCACACACGCAGGCTTATTCACTAGAACACAACTTGATTCACAGCTATGCAGAGATATTAAACAAAATAAGGGAGCAGATATTTGCAAACTCTAAATATTCTTTCAGGGGTGCAAACGTAATCTGTAGACTGTCTTACCTGCCTATCACATGATCTCTAGTCCAGGAGATTTTGAGCAGATTCTCTTACTGTTATGAAAATGTTTTAGCATGGTGGCAAGAACAGTGGCCACAGACTATTTACTCTGGGTGTAGTTCAATGCTCTGAACCACTGGCTACTTGACACTATCTCATCCCCTGACTTCCCAGAACCCTGCTTCCTTTTCTGTAGAGAGGGAACTGATCTCTGAGTCAGTCAAGGACCAGAAGGCCTTGAATCATGCATTTTGCTCACTGGGTCCACCAAATGCAATTATTATCCATGCAGATTAAATCTATGTAAGAAGCAAGAAACAGTGAATGTGCTGCTGAAATTGAAAATCAATTCAGGCAGATAGTGGTTGGTACCTCTGCCCTAGGAGTCTGGCTTAGAACGGACTAGCTCTCAGGCCTTGAGGGCACCTCAATCCTCAGCACAGCAGGTCGGGTGAAGGCTCCTTCCCAGGGGTCTGTTTGCATGAGGCAAAGCGCTGCAATCCTCCTGACCTCCCTGGAGGGAAGGACTGCCTCTTTCCCGGGGAGAACATAGAAAACCACGTTCAGGAAGTAATGAGCCCAGTAAACTGGCTGAGTGGCTGAGGAGAAAACCCTGCATCCTAGGTTATGTTTATTGCAAAGTGTTCTTTGGGGTCTCAAGGTACCTCCTGCTTCATGTGGAAACAAATAAGCTTTATTAAATTTTAGTTCTATTTGCACTGTGTAGAATTAGATGCAGATACTTTAAAAGTAATGCCACATTTCCCACAGCCCCAGAGTAGATGGGCCTGGCTGCTCCTGCATATAGATGCATTTCTCTGGAAACAGAAAAATTCAAGGCTAGGGGTCAGCACTCTGTCCAGTGCAGCAGGGATCCCTTAGTGTGACATGAATGAAACCCAATAACACAGTTTTTGCCACAAAAACTCCAAGCTGCTATAAGAAGGGATATTGGGTCACAGCATAGAGCCAGCCACGAGAAGAGCTGCAGGCTCAGAGTCTGTACTCAGTAAATGTGTACAGAATAGGTGGCTGGCTGGATGAATCAGTGAATCCTGGTTCTAAAATCTCAGGGTTCTTTGCGTCTTTGGCCTGTGTCAATTGTACTTTCTCTTTGCCTAGATTCTCTTTATTTACTCCCTCCCTAAATCCACCTTCTTCTCATTTCCACATTTCTTCGGTTTCACTGGCCTCCTGTAGGTCCAACTGCTTTGTTTCTTGATAAGATTAATTTTATTTTCAAATTAACAAAAATTATGTATATGTATGTACAAAATTTTTGTTTTGAAATGCACATCATAGGTTGGCAAAATCAAATCAATAAATATATGGACCACATACTTTTAATTTTTGTAGCAAAAACACCTAAAATCTACTCAGCAATTTTCAAGACTATAATATGTTATTGGCTGGCATGGTGGTTCAACCCTTTAATCCCAGCACTAAGGAGGAAGAAGCAGGTGATTTCTGTGACTTTAAAGCCCACTTGGTCTACATGGTAAGTTCCAAGCATTATAGTGAGACCCTGTCCCAAAGTGTGTGTGTGTGTGTGTGTGTGTGTGTGTGTGTGTGTGTGTGTGTGTGTGTTACATTATTAACTACAGTTTGATATGATTAACTTTAAAATCATAATAGTCACCATTTGAAGATGCTTAGATGTGTTAATTACATGCTGGGTACTGTAAGTGTGCTATGTCTTTCTATCAACAAAACAA